AAAAACAAAGAAAATCTCAGTATGAAGATATATGGACATTATTCACTGTACTCCGTGGAAAACAAATCCTCAATTTACTCGAAATTGGTTGATGAGTATAACTAATCTACTGGGGACGGATGCTACATCCGTTTGTTACATCATAACCATTCAACGCCTAGCCCACAGTCAGGCTACAGACGTGAGATCACCGAATTCCCTGCAAACTTATCCCTAGAGAGAGTTTACCCTGTGTATCACAACCATTAAACGCATCTGACACCTGCATCTCAGATACCGGAGGTGTGTTCTTCGGCACTGGCACCAGCGCTGCAGTTGGGCGCCAATGCCGAAGAGCCAAAACGAACCAGTGATTTTATTCTACCTGGCAAATTTGGTATCAAATAACCGCCCCCGGAAAATGGGAGGGTTGGTTTGCCTGGGTGCAAGTCGCAGGATCTGACGTTCTGACCGGGCGCGTAGTTACAGAGCCACTCGCCACTAGAACACCCCGTTGATTTTGTAGGCGCAAAAGGAATTAATACGAGTTTTCGAGAATTTTCATTTCCTCACCCCCTAACCCCTTATTAGGAAGATGATCTATCTATCACAGTCAAATTGTGGGCAGAAAAAAATAACAAATCGAAACAATCGAGCTCACATTCATGGCGCAAGATAACTTGTAAATAGCTGGAAACATAAGCTGAACCCTTGCACCACGGCTGTCGTTTGACCAAAATCCCGTCTCCACCATCGCGTTCATTATCGATTCCGTCTTCTTTCTTTCCAACGTTTCACTAAAACATATAAATGAACGACTTTTCAGATAAAATGATGAAAAACGGATAAAGTTCACATTCAAAAGCGAATATGTTTCCCAATAGAATTCCACAATGGGGCGCACACCAAAAGGTAGATTTATCAAATTTTCATCTGAGATAATTTATTAATATTACTTGGTCTAGGCGGAGGTGGTGTAGGTGGACAAGTGGCTTGACCACATTCCCGCGGATCCGGCGTGCTCAAACGTGAACTCACGTCGCCAAGTCGAGGTCCGCCCAGGCCAACGAGCGTTCTAATCCTCCGGGGACGGTAAATTGTACCCAGACCGACGCTGTAACTGGCGCAAGCGCGCATCAGAGGCACTCATTTCGCATATTGTACGTAGCATTTCACTATCTTCTAGGAGTTAATGTTGAGTAGCAGCAGTAGCAGGACCTTGTGTGGTTAGCTCGCAGACCAGCTTTCCGGGCGTAAAGGGTGCGTTCTGCTTGTAAGATGGCGGGGTGTTGTAAAAGCTTCGATATGCGAGTACTATTGGCATTCCCCTATTAACAAAGCCACTAGAGTATAAGATGGCAACTTAAAGCATCGGCTTTCCCACCCTAAAAAGTAGATAAAATGTTCACTTAAATGGGAGAAAACATGCAAACAAAAAAACCAGCGGGCGGTATCAGGAGGTGTGGAACTGAGCCCGCTTGTGCGATGGCGTTTTCAAGCATTAGTGCTGGTTGCGGAAGAAGAAAAACAGTGGTAGTAAAAAGTAGGCGGTTGGGCTCCAATTCAGTGCCTTTTGACAGTGTAGTGTGCGGTGCTAGTTTGGGCGATGCCATCACTTACTGACAACTGGCCTCAACGCTTGGTCGAGGAGTGGGTCCGTGAGAAGTAGCGGGGATATTGTTATTGCCTAGCTCTGAGGATTTTGCAGGGGAATTATTCAAAAATAAGTTGACCCTGGAAAAAATATGTTACCTGTTGTATAGATAAGTGTCAGGTATCCATATTTGATCAAAAGGCACTATAGTCCTATTCAGCATACCATACTCCCTGGGATCCCAGTCGAGAAACTCATCGAACCAATTCTGAACTTTTGATAAGATCACTTATATCAGTCGGCACGGCAGTGTTTAAATTTTACACTATCTTTCTACTGCTTACAGTCTTGTTTGCTGCGGATGGGGGGGGGGCTTGTCAGCGCAGCGCGGCCGCGTTTGGCGCGCCACCAGTCCGTTCTCCACCAGCTGTTGAAGCGAGTAAGCGACAACATTGGTGGAAAACGACTGATACGAACGATATGATACAGTCTTGTCGCTTGCCGAAAGAAAAAAGGAAACGAAGGGTTGCTGGCACGGCGCCGGACCTGTGATTCTCTCACCTCCCTCCCCCTCCCCCGTTGATAGGCCCCCATCATCCGCAGCAAGCAAGACTCTGCGTACCACTATTTATAACACCTAGTTGGTAGGCTTTTAGAATTCTAACAAGCATAAATCAAAGAGGCAAGAAAAATCTAAGCTGAGTTCGCTTATGTCACTTCTTTCAAAGCGAGTGTTACTGATGCTCAAAAAAAAGACTGGAACCCACGCCTCACCTGCACCATCCACACATTTACAATGATGCTTTGCGAGTGCTCATCCTGAAACGGCAGGTTAGAATCAAAACAACAATATTCCGGCGTTGATCGGTCCTTTTATAGGATCCGTTTAGTATTCTCCCTCCATTCAGAGGCCTAGCAGTATGTCTTTCAGTGTGATTTTGATCGATCAACGAATTAAAGGCAGTTGGCACGATAAATCCCTAAGACGAGTAGGATTAATACGCCTGGCAGGACGGAATTCCGCGCCCCTGAGCAGGCGCTGCGTAGCGCTTTTTCCAAGAAAGGTACTCTTATAAGGCCCTACAACATATCGACCCGGACGCCCACCGCGTCCGCCCGCCCACAAATGGACGACCGTACCTGATGCTCGTATTGCTTCATTTGCTACTAAGCGGAAGGGATTGAAATGAAGCGGCTATGGTGCTGCATGGATATATGAGTACATACGTGCAGCCGTATCTACCGTAGTGGTTACTGGCAAGATGCCCACGGGAAACTCGTCCAAAATTGCTTTTTGAA